CAAACTGGACTACGTATGCTCTCCGTCCTCGGCAAAGAAATGTAGACTTAGCACGAAATCAAAAGGGGACGTTAGCACCTTTCTTCAACCCTTCACCTCGAAAACAATTACTTTTAGTGCCTCACACATGGGTGGCGTGTGTTCTTTTGGTTTCGGATAGTTGGTAGCACCTAGTTTAGAGCTTAGCATAGATGCAAGATGTTTCTGGTCGGCAGTGTAAGGGTTGTGGTGGACCATTGTCCTCTTTGATTTTGATAATTCACGTGTTTGCTCCATGTTTGACGAAACTCTAGAGGTTTTGATGTACCTCGAAGTCGTTTCTTATCAGTCGATGAAATGTGAGTGCTAGTAACTCCTTTCTTACAAAATTTCCAAAATTTCAACGTTTTTTCTGTATCCTTGCCAAAGCTTGTTGGATAGGCTCTTGGTTCTATGGATCAAAGCAGCAAATGTGTGGAATTTCGTTTACTTCATCCTCAAAGTCGGTGCCAATTATTCCTGCCCTACCTAAACGCTGTTGTGTTAGCTGGGTAATTTGACCTGATTACCTTGTGGTAGCTGACTCCATCATAAGGATTTGTGTTGATTACTCATTGGCTTTTGGGGATTCTGGCCTGGGTGAATATCGGTTAGTAAGATGAATGATAACTGTCGCCTCTGCTTCAACCTGCCATCTGTTGCCGCCAAATTATTCATTTTACAGCAGTCGTCACTGCTAATATATTCACTTGACCTCCTATGAGGTCAGGGCGGTTTTTGTAAGTCATTTTGGAAATGTGACGTCTGGCAGGAATGTAGTAATACGTTCCCGGTTTTGTTGCCTGTCTATTGTTTGACTCGTCTTGAATACCAATTGTGTGGGCGTCTATTACTTGGTTCTATGTCAAGACAAATGAAGGAATGGTAGCCCTCTGATGTCCCCAAAACTGTTTTTTTTTGCCAAAAGTTTAAGCAGAAGCTAGTCCATGTTTAGTGATCTACTTGACTAATTTTGGTTATGTTTGAAGTGTGAATGTTTATTTTTCCGCATTTTGATGTTGTGTAAGATTCACTGTAGCCCCATTGTTTGCATTAGCCTCAGTGATTTTTATTTGTTATCGGTTTGATTGCGTATTCCATAACCTATCCTGTCTCATGGAGATAGGGTGGCTTGAGAGAGAATGGTTGTACGTCTTTTGCGTAAATTGAAAGTGTCTAGTCCTTTTGAGCTATGCATGAGTTGTGCCGTGAATTAACTCCCGTTCCACTTGCGACTGCTGCCATCCGCTGCGGACTGCTTATTTTAGTCCTTAGCCCCTGGCATCTTTAATAACATATTATTCACTTGCAGGTTAATGGAATAAGTAATTAGTCTTTCCCCTTAGTACATACG